CATCTGGCTCAGTAATTGAGAGATTAATAAATGTATTATGGAAGTCATCTTGAGTCTACATAAACAAATACAGCATCAGATAACTGTTCCTAAGCACTCTGTGATATGGACAAACTGTAACATGCATTCATAGTCATGAACTCAGTGTTAATCAGTGTCAATCACTGCATCAAATTGGTCTCCAGGGCTGTCATCCCAGAAGGAAGCCTCTTCTAAAGATGATGCCCAAGAAAGCCCACATACAGTTTGCTGCAAGCAAGCAGACTATGGACATGGTTCAAGAAAACCATGTCCTTAGTCTGCTTGCTTGGATTTCTTGAACCATGTCCTGTGGTCCGATGAGACCAAGATCAACTTATTTGGTTCAGATGGTGTCAAGCATGTGTGGCGGCAACCAGGTGAGGAGTAGAAAGACAAATGTGTTGTGTCTACAATCAAGCATGGTGGTGGGAGTGTCATGGTCTGGGGCTGCATGAGTGCTGCCGGCACTGGGGAGCTACAGTTCATTGAGGGACCCATGAATGCCAACATGTACTGTGACATACTGAAGCAGAGCATAATCCCTTCCCTTCGGAGACTGGGCTGCAGGGCAGTATTCCAACATGATAACTACCCCAAACACACCTCCAAAATGACCACTGCCTTGCTAAAGAAGCTGAGGGTAAAGGTGATAGACTTGCCAAGCATGTCTCCAGACCTGAACCCTATTGAGCATCTGTGGGGCATCCTGAAACGGAAGGTGGAGGTGCGCAAGGTTTCTTAACATCTACCAGTTCTGTGATGTCGTCATGGAGGAGTGGAAGAGGACTCCAGTGGCAACCTGTGAAGCTCTGGTGAACTCTATGGCCAAGAGAGTTAAGGCAGGGCTGGAAAATAATGGTAGCCACACAAAATATTGACACTTTGTGCCCAATTTGGACATTGTCACTTAAGGGTGTACTCACTTTTGTTGCCAACGGTTTAGACATTAATGGCTGTGTGTTGCTTTATTTTGAGGGGATAGCACATTTACACTGTTATACAAGCAGTACACTCACTGCTTTACATAGTAGCCAAGTGTCATTTCTTCAGTGTTGTCACATGAAAAGATATACTAAAATATTTATAAAAAGTGAGGGAGTGTACTCACTTCTGTGATATACTGTATAGGAAACGGGAGAAAAGGCAAATGACCAAGAAGTAGAACAAATGATTTGCTAATATTTATAAGGGGAAGCTCAGAGAGTTAACACTTAGAAGGAAACGGGAGGAAAGGCAAAGGACCAAGAAGCAGAACAAATGATTTGCTAATATTTTTAAGAGGAAGCTCAGAGAGTTAACACTTAGAAGGATTTCATACTTACAAGAGAAGTTAAAAATAGCCCCCAAAAGGGGGGGGGGTCAGATATGTTCAGAGCAAGAGACAGAACAAGGAAACTCTACATCTGCTTCACCGAAAGGATGGAGAAATGCTAATGGGTAATATAGAGAAGACAGAACTGCTGAGCACCTGCTTTGCCTCCATCTTCTCCCCTGCAAAATAAAAAATAAAAATATAAAGAGTGCTCAGCCTGGCCTAGATCAGAATAAATGAGGCAGTGGTGAGGCTGCTGTCCAAGATAAGTAAAGATGTGACACAGAAACACCAGTTACTATCCAAGGCCAGATAAATTGCACCAAAGAGTACTGCAAAAATAATCACAGAATTATGATTTTTCATCTGTATTTTTCATTTGGAGAATATAAGATTCAGATGATACATGATAGCCATTTTCAAATATTTGAAAGGCTGTTTCATGGAAGATGGTGCAAACTTGTTTTTATTTATTTATTTTATTTTTTTATTTATTTTATATGCCACCCACTCTACCCAGAGGTCTCTGTGACTCCAGAAGGTAGGACCAAAATTAATGAATTCAAATTACAAGAAGGGCGGTTTTGCCAAAACATTAAGAAGAACCTTCTGACTGTTACAAGAACTACTTGTCAAAGTAGTGAACTGTCTTTCTCAGGAAATGGTGAACTTTCCTTCATTGGAAGTTTCAAAACAAAGGCTAGATTGCTGTTAGAGGTCATTTCGTGCCTCATCAGGAAATTAGATTCAACGACCTCTTGGTATCCCTTCCAGCTCTATAATTCTTTGATCCTATGACTCCATGAACTCTCTTTTGTGGTACAAAATTCCCTTGATCACATCACATTCCTCAACCTGATCAACCTCAACAGAGTATTATGTGCAATTAAATGTCTGCTCTGCATTCACTAGAGAAAATATTTATTTTGTGGGATAAGTCCTAAAATCCTACAGCCAGCATAAACTGGCTCTGCCAACTGTGGGATTTTGAGAGCTGAAGTCCAAAAACTCTTCCTGTTTCTGGTCTTTAGCCTGTGTTGTGTGGCAAAGAGGTAGGGGAAGTGGGGTTTGAACCACAACGGTATGAATTCCCTTTGATTATGGTGGCTGAGGAATTCTGGGATATATAATTCCTCCCCTTCCCCCTGATAACTTTTCCAAACTCTGATTTTCATGCACGTTTTAAATGCAGTGCATTGTAAATGCTGAGTATGACTTTGAGTCTCCTTGATCGCTGTGATGACCACGAATCCACTAAGTAGTGGATCTCAAGTAGTTCAGCATTAGAATTTCATGCATGGATACATGAGCCACAGTAGGGTAAGAGCCTTAAAACACTGAGTATACTTCTGAAGAAGTAGCCCATAGCAAAAATAAGCCTTTGAGACTGAGGATGGTCTCCTGTAGTTTCTGTACATACACATAGAAAACTGTATATAAATTAGTGTATGTTTGGGAATACCAGCATATCTCAAATGTGGTTTAATCTTTGATCAAAATCATTAGCTCTGACTCACAGCAATACTTTTTTCTTTTTCCTAGTTCTTAAAATATTTTTTAAAAGTCTCCTTTGCTGACATAGCATTTAAAATGCTTGAGGAAAAAGTGTACTTGGGAACCTCCATTACAGTACATTGAAAATATTATGTAACCCTCTGGGTTTTGCTTATTGCATTCCACCTGTTCTCCCACCCACACGTCACGAGATATTTGCCCCAAATTGTCCTCCCTCACTTTTAGTTTTCAAAGCTGGATTGTTGAGCAAGAGGGAAAGATATCCCTCAGGAATACCATCATCCCTATAAGCTCAGCGCTGCATTATTACTAGTAAAAAAACCTGCATTGTTAGGAGAAACAACAGGACAGAGTTTGTGAAAAATTGGACTGCAGCAGGCTTTTTTAGACTACAACTCTGAAAGCCATCTCACCCACCCCCAGCAAGCATACCTTGTGATCATGATGATTGGAATTCCAGGAGATGTATCCAAAAAGTAAATTTTATCAGTTCTGAAAAATGAATATGTGGTAGCCAACTCCTTTCAGTGCCTGTGCTGGTTGCAGGAGCTGTAGTGTAAAAGGGATCTGTGGTAGTTACCTTCTTCAAAGGATGTGGGAATTATTAT